CGTCATTCTATAATTCATAAATGCGTCATTCTATAATTCATGATTGCATCATTCTATAATTCATAATTGCATCATTCTATAATTCATAAATGCGTCATTCTATAATTCATAAATGCGTCATTCTATAATTCATAATTGCATCATTCTATAATTCATAAATGCTTCTTGCTAGTACGGCTTCTGTTTTCTCTTTCGCTCAGGTACGTGATCATCAAAGCGAATCCACCCAGCCTGCTGTCGACGGTACAATACGTGAACAGCTTCTATGAGAAACGTCTCAGTGGTGAGGAGTCATACTGGTGGGCGCAGTTCTCCTCAGCGATCGAATTCATCAAGACAATGGACTACAAGATGTAGTTTCTGACGTGGGCTCAAAGGCGCCCCCTGGCGTTCAGCGACACCGCCATTATGCTGTGAATGTTCACTGATGGTGTCACTGCCTGGATTGCTGCATCGTAGCTGGAAGTGAAGAGTTAGAAAGACGGTGTAGTTCTAGGTTTCTCCTTTACTCATCTAAGCATACTCTCACAAGTAACCGGGTAGTTTCCATAATCGCGTCAAGCGGACAGACTCTAATGGGTATAGTAGCACGTGCGCTGGATACTTGAATATAGTAGAATGAACATGTATGCATATTATAGGCGTAAAGAAATGGCTCCTGCATCGCATGGGTGACTGAAGCTGAGAGGGTCTATGTCCCCCAGGGTACCGCCGAAACGTACCCTGGGTACGGTCCGGTATACCGGAACGTACTCTGGTACTATCTAATATGCCGGACCGTACCTCGCCTACTCCACTAACGAGTCTAGGGAGTCGTCTACGCCTACTCGCTAACCCTAACCCTAACCCTAACCATATCAGATAGTTACCAGGGTACGTTCCGGCAGTACCCTGGGGGACATAGACCCTATGAGGGTGACTGAACGCATGCTTAGTGTGAAGCATCAAATTAATAGTTTCATGTTTACTAATGAATTCTTACTAGGGAGTCAAATCATGCTTCATGTACGACACGTAGACACGTAGACTGATGTATCTATATATATATATATACATATATGATCAGACAAATGTAACATAAACTGGTTGTATAGCTTAGATGTATATTTAAAAAAAACAGCACGTGTTACGATCAGTCATATAGGCTAGCAAGGTTGCATACTGTGGGATGCGTTATGCATAGTTCGATGTCTAAAGCCCATTAAAGGTGTTTTTCTTTACGTTTTATTATGTGATATCTATCAGATTGTCAATATAGGTTACCATTTTGAGCAATACGAACTCAATGTTTATGAAGCATCATTGTAGTATGCGGTGTAATTGCTCGTACAACGTTTTACTTAATTATAGTTTCCTTAATTTAGCCATATTAATTTAATAGAAGCGTGCCAACTTTGGTAACGTTGGAGTGAGTTAAAGAGCCCCGCTACTACAATTCTACCTTATATATTTAAGTTAATGTATGAATACATTTGTCGAAGTGCTATTGGTATATGACTCATGTGAAACTCAATGAAGACTGATATTTCATTTTATTATCTCGTATTATTTAATTACTCATTAATAATTTTAAATTACGTCACGTGTGCTACACACTGCAAAAGTTCGTACTCAGTATTTGAGGTAATTTTCGAACAAAGAAATCAAACTATAGTTCAGACGAATTTATTTTACCAAGTGCAATCATTAAATATTTTAGCGCAAGGAAATGCATACCAGTGGGCCAATTGCCTGCTCGCAAGAATGTATATCTATAGCTGGTATATCCTGCTGCTATGAAATGTATTATTTTAAGGTGCATGTTCAAATACTGTTTGCGTAGTTGCATTTTACCAGGAGCGTATAATGACAAATATATATATATATATATATATAATATAGTATATTTGTCATTATACGCTCCTGATTTTACGAAGGTGGTACGACTCTCTGTGCGGTTATATGTAATCACAGCTAAAAGATGAGTCGTGGTAGCTACTGGGCAACATACAGCATTCACACAATTTTGCCGACGACTGTACGCTGCGATATGAGTGAGAATATTAAGTTTACCAGCCACATGCATATTTTGGGGTGATACTCCATTAGGAGTGGTCCCAACTTTAATGTCATAATAACATATATATAATATTATATATTAGTGTTGTGGATTTAATGTCATATTATCTCTTCTGTTATGGGTTTAGGGTTAGGATTTATCAATCATTAATAATTAATTCCTTAATCGCATTATAGATATCAAGTTGGGAACACTCTTATAGGAGGGTTAAGCCACTAACTTTTTTTTCTTTGTGCCTTGGGTAATGCGTGTGTACCGGTAGTGTGTGATTTGCGCTGTTTGCCAAAAAACAAGCCACTGTAATCTATTCGTTTTAGACACGGATTAGCATTGTAATACAGAAGCCAAAACGCAGTCGCCAAATTAAATAAGTCAAAAACAAAAACTTGCCGAGTTGTTTTTTCTTGCATCCAATATAGGCTTACTTTAATCAAACTATGAATAGTCACTTGTATGCTAATTATAATTTCTTAGAATACAACGAAAATTACGACGTGTTTGTTAATTTAAAAGCTTCGGTTTAGAATGGCATTGGAAATTGGAATTAAATTAAAAGTTTTTTTACTCAACGCTCCAATTTTTTTTATCAATTTATTTGGCCGGTTAATTTCACATTTACCAAGGGAGAAGGCATTTGAGTTGTCG